AGCCTTCAATTTCGAGATTTAATTGAAAATAGGTAATAAGCCAAGCAATTCTTGGATGTGGGAGTTGTTCATTATGCATGCATGTACTATCTAGGGTTGTGCGAAGATTATTGAGCTCAATTGGGTAGACTTTGGGTAGTGAAATGGAGGAATCTACCATAGGAGGACCTTAAAATCATAATGCACGCCTAGTGTTTCCTAAAATTCTCACATGAGCTAGAAACATGAACTCCTTCCTAATTTATGTTCAATTTTGCTATATCTCTAAATAGATCAAAATTGCTAGGATTTTTCCGAACCGTATAGTGAGTTAAGAAAAGCTCAAAGCGAAGTATGTTGGCTAAACTTCTCTCTTAGAATTGAATTCTTGGATATTCTAGTATTCATATCTAAATGTACTATTCTAAAGTGCACCATCTAGGTATCTCATAAGGAGAACTATTATCACGTTTGCAATATCCTTCGAAAATGTCAGCTAATGCTAACAATACATCCACTATTTTGGGTTACTCTAATGATACGCTCAAATTACACCTATATGAATAGGGTAAGGTGGTCGATATCAAATATAATAACCCAACTAGGTTGGGGTCGAATCCCACAGGGAATAGGTGTGAAAAGGTTACTTGAATAGTGTGAAACTTGACTTAAGTCGTAGTTCTACTCCGTTAGTTTAAAAAGAGTTTTGTAATTGTGAATTGTCAAGAAAAGCTATTTTGTTAAGAGAATTTGATTAATTTGATTAAGAAGCCAAGGTTGTGTATCCATCAATAGAGTGTAATGTTATCGGTGTTAATATGATATATTTCTAATGGAAGGTTCTTTGATATGCAAATGGTTCCTAAATGACTACCCAATATATTCCAATAATTAGGTAGTATTTCCTCTTTATGATTTTCCCAAATATAAAATAGCTACAATTAAGAATAGCCAATTTATGCCAAGAAGAACCCACTTATCCCTAAGCGATTCTATTAAACAAGGTTTAAAGCCTTGAGTTCTCGCTATTCAATTCTACCAAACCCTAACCCACTTTTCCAAGTAAAGATAGAGTGAAATGGCACTAGTCAATGTTTGCAACCATCAACCATAAATGAAGCAAGAGAAATGAATAGAAATCAACCAACCATTATATATATATTCAATGGTAAACACACATTAACATTACAGCCACTTAGGGTCCACAGCCTTAGTATTTAAAGTTAGCTACTCATACTAGAATACAAGAACAAAGTAATAAATAAAGTCATAAAGATTACAAAGAGGACAAAGTCTTGGAATCTCTCTCAAATGCTTCCAAAATAATGGTGTATTCAATGCTCTAAGTGTAGCCTATTTTTCAGACAAGATGGTCCACAAAAACCCTAATCATTCTATTTATAATGGTTTAAAAGTTGTGGTTAAAACGTGACAAAAATGACCATGCATATCAAGTATGCGACCGCAGAATGGATCGCAGAACATATTCGTGGTCCGCATATCTTCATTTTCACCGCATAATTGATCACAGAGTTTTCCAGTTTTTCATTGCATTTTTGTTATGCGATCCGCATATTGGCTTCGCGACCGCATATCGTACCGCAAAGTCATTTTCACTGGAAATCTTTTTGCATTTGTGCGATCACTATGCGGTCTACACAAGAGTTATGCGACCGCACAATGGATTGAATATTTGACTCTCAGATACATGGATGTTCTGCTTCACTCTGCGATGGGTCTGCGGTCCGCACATCACTTTTGCGGTCGCAGACCTGCCGCATTGCTGCCTTTCCATGGGTTTTTGTCATCTTTTTTATGTTCTTGGTTCTTCAAGTCTGGAACACCAAAACTACATAAGAAATGACTTATAATGCTTTAAAAGATGAGCTAAAGTCTACGTATTTAGTATCAAAAGTGTCGCATTTCTACGGCACATCATCTAACCCCAGCTGGATCCTGATATCCCATCCTTCTCTTAAACTATATGTGTTAGCTCCCATTGGGCATAAGTGAGATGGGTGTGGCCAATTGCACATACCTCTGTTACTGTTGAAGGTAACTTAGAATACTTATATTTTTCTGCCTGAATTGTAAAAACTGATAATCTTCACTAACTGGGTACCTCGTACCCTTCTTCACCTTGCTTCTTTTACTTGTTGAAACTTGTATCTACTTTATGATTCTCTCATTGCATTTTTAACCATATGGTTGGATAGATATTCATGCCTTAGGGGTACTTATCAAGAAGATTACATATCTTAGTACACACATAATCTACTAAAGACCTTACATTCACTCATCATAAGTATGATGCAAAATCGAGTTCCTCTAACTCAACTCTTCCAAACCGATGGGCCGCGACGGGCACTCGGTGCCTTACCCAATTGAGTACCAACGTAGTGTATCTTTCTTATCATGTCATCTTGGGTATATGGGCCAGAAGGGCCGTCATGATATAACCAGAATAGAACATACGGGAATACTCGACAAAGGACGACCCGACATGGAATACAAACTTATATATGTAACATACGGGCTTATAAGGCCGACATGATCATTTGTACACTTAAAACATAGGCCGACAAGGCCATACAATCATCCATATACATGATATTTGTCTACAAGTATCTAAGAGTACATAAACGTCATAAAGGTTAGGACAGGGCCCCACCATACCAATCAATACATGTCCAAAACATACTGACAAAATAGGCAACTTCGGAGAAGTGGAGTGCTCCAACACCTTCCGCTAAGTTGATAGCCTACTAGGAGGACAATCAACCTATCTATCGGGACTTGCAAATCTATCTATCGGGACTTGCAGGCATGAAACGCAGTATCCCCAGACAAAAGGGACGTTTGTAAGTGACAAGCGCAAAACACATACTTAAATATGCTCGCTAGTCTAATATAGTATAATATAATATCGTATCCACAGGGATTGGAGTTAAATAGTATTTGCGTAGTTTATAGTTTGATTGCTATCCAAGATGATCAACAATTGAGATTTATGTGATTAAAACTAAAATTAACAAAGAGTCTAACTTATTGACAAATGACACTCCAACAAAAGTAAGCAAGGAAGATATCAATGGGAGAAAATAGGGATTGATTGGATAGGTGCAAGATAAATGTATGGGATTTAGCTCTACTTAACTCACTTCTAATGTTCAAGTGAACCTCTCGAATTCACTCAATTATTAGTTCAAACGTTTAGTAGAAACTCCTCTCTCGATTAAGTCTCAACCTCACAATATGAACTAATTTAAGCTCAGTGAAGATATGCAAGAATTCGTAGTGGATTGGTCTTTAAGAGAACCACTCTCGATTATCCTCCTAACTAGGGTTAAACAATAATTCAACTAGCCTCTTTCGATTACAAAGAAGAATTAATGAACTCAACCAACAAGATAATGCAACGATATCACAAGTTATGCCTCTCTCGATTACATAAACATGTGAATATAGATGCAATAATTAAATCATCCAAAACGATTCAATACATAAAAACTAGAGTTATAATCCACAAACAAATATCAATACACCAAGTCCATCAAACCCTAAAGAGAACTACTCCATAGATATAGAGCAATTCATCACAAGTATGTTTAAAGTAAAGGAAAACATAAAACGATCCAAACCCTTATCTTGAGTGAGGATTGAATGATGAACTCCTTGTGCTTTTGCTTCTCTAACTCCTCCTTAGCCTCCTTAGGTCTTAGATGTGTCAAAAGTCCAGAAAAATACTATTTTTTCATGTACATATACCAATTAGGGTTGGGCCCAAACGAACACACCTTTTCCTACGCGAAATAGGACAATTCCGGGATTTGACATATCCCAAAAAAATCAGTCTGAAATACTACATATGGAGACTTTCAGCCATATATTTTTAGCATTCATGTTGCTGCATCTTTAAAACCAAAAGTCATTTTTAATTTGCGCTCACTTTTAATTCACAGGGCTCCAATTTTAACTGATACCCATTTTTAATCATGACAAGAAGTAGTGATGAAGAATATGTGAAGAAGATAAATCAAATTTTGTTAAAAAAATTCAGGTCAAGGGAAGAATTGTTAGGATTTTGCCCTGAATTTTTAATCCATTAAGACTCTCTTTCTTGAAGGAAGGAAAAAGACTCTTAAAAGGAATAAGTGTCTTTATCCTTTTCTTGGAAGAGAAGTTTTGTACTTCTATAAATTGACATTTTTTTCACACAAGAACAACAACCTCTACAATGTAGTCGTTAGGAGGATCATGTTTAGGGGAGATTATTCCCTCAAAATATTTATTTTCTCTTTTTATAATAATGATAGATCATATGTAAGGTCGATTGACCAATCCATAATAAATTATTATGCCTAGTTTAGTATATTTTTCTTTCTCGTCTGACTTATCGTCTCAAAACTTTACTTTGTTAGCTTCTGCATGCATCATATTTTTTCGATCCCAACAATTATCTCTTCTTCTTTTTTGTAACGGTAGTGTTCGAGTCAATTTGCCCACTTCTCGGCCGTTTCACCAAATACCAATTACTTCACACCAACATAAGTATTCGAGATAATAACGGTAGTGTTCGAATCAATTTACGCACATCTAGACTATTCCACTCAATACCAATTACTTTCTCGGCTATTCCACTAATTACTTCACACCAACATAGGCATCCAGTGTCAGGTGACCCGACTATGGTTTGTATGTGAGTACTCGTCGGGCATCATTTCTTTGATTGCATTATTTTCAAATCAGTGCAGGCTACATAAGCAAACATGTGCAGCAGTATACCATTTACATTAGATATAACGGTCTTTGCATATTAAATAACATTCAGGGGATTTCAGAACCATACTTTAGGTGTTAATCTTTTGGTGTAAGAGTTCAGAATCAAGGCAGGTTGCAGTCATTTAACTACCCTTTATCAATTAGGTCAGTGCACGGTTCATAGTAGGAACTAAGACTTCAAATGGAGAACAAAAAGAATGTTATTGGTGAAGATAAATTAGTTAACTGCTGTAAGAAACTGAATTCAAATGACATCGTTCCATTACCACTTCTTTCGAATACAGTAAGCAGCCTCCCAAGGTTAATCAAACCAACGGGGGAATATGTAAAGCCAAAAGGAACCAACTAAAAAGGAGATTCACCAAAGTTAGTTATGGTTCAGCAACACAAATAAAATTACAGACGGGTTCTGAATTTGATAGAAAATGTGCTTGGAAACTAGGAAAATATTTGACTGTTACTTTTGCTAGCCATGAAACATACATCTAGTTTAACAAAAATTATAATTTCCACACCAGCTAATATGCATCACGTCCAACTCGCCGATCATCTCGTCCCCTTCCCATGTATAAATCACGGTGATAGTCTTTGGGTGGCGGTCCACCTCTCACTGGAGAACGACTTCTCTCCCTGATATCACGGGCCCATTGGCCACGAGGTAATACTGGAGGACGAGGCGGAGATGGTATTCGCCTTTCCAAACCTTTCCTCTCGCTTAAGAAACTCTCTCTGACACGCTCCCTATGTCCCCAATCCAGGGGTGGAGGCCTTTCAAACCTACTCCGGTCCCTATAATCAGCATCGGGATAATCAGGCCTATCTCTACGGATTGGCGGATCTGCAAACCTCCCTTCATATCTGGAATGAGGAACCCCAACTCTGAAATCTCTGGCATCATCTCTAGCCCAGCCACGAGGAGGGGACCTATACCCATTCACAAACCTTCCTGGAGAACGATTGATTAGGGGGCCAGGAATGTGGCGAGGGGGAGGGGGACAAGGAAAACCTCTCCTAGGACTCCCAGCAGGTGCATATCGAGGCCTTTTGCATTTGTTACAGTACTCTCGCCTTGCAAAGTTCAAGTTGTTACATCTGCAATGTCAGGAGAACAAAGTATGATACACAACTATAACATCTAGGACAAAAGAATTTGCTTTCCCTTTTTTCTATTTTGGAGCAGTTTCACGGTGATTTAAAAGTCAGCATCTACAGACAGATGTAATCAGCAATAGACATCATTAAAACAACCAAAGTACTTACAACAACAACATACCCAGTATTATCCCACATCGTAAACCAAAGTACTTAAGTAATGTTAATTATGCAAGTATGCCTGCCTAGTAATCCCTAACATTTCTGCTTCAACAAAATCAAAGTACATCCAGTCCTTTCAAAATCTTCTCTAGAACACTTAATACTATTGAAGCAGTTCAAACTTTAAAAATAATCAGAAAAGAACTCAATAAATCCATTCAACATTTCTTGCTTGTTTCTTAGTTAGCAGCAAACGGATCATCATCTAAGCTCTTCTTGCATAAGAGAATGGCTTACTTGTCACTTAAATATATTCTACTTTAAAAAACAAGACTTTTAATAAGAGCAAGTAACTACCAATATAAATTGCTCCATCTGGGTACAAATTACGGAGACCTGAAGGCAAATTGAAGGAATCATAGGTGCAAAACCCATTTACTGCAATTCAAACCTGATCAATGAGTAGAATCGTGTTCTAGATATGGGAATTTTACACTGTATGTCCTTTTCTATATGATATTTAAGGGATCTAACGGATACCAGGTAGACGCAAGAAAGCTTCAGATGATGCTATCTTTTTGAGAAAGAAAAATTCTTTTTTTTTTAAGAAAGCTTCAGATGATGCTATCTAATTAGCATATATCATTTAGCTCATTTTGAAACCATTAAAACATGAGGAAACAGATAAATTTAAACAAGCCTTCCGGAAACAAAGTTAAATTAGCTCGCTTGCTCATACAGCAAGCAATGTCTTGTGCATACTATATAACAACAATGACTACTACATCTCAACCTCAAGCAAGTTGAGATAGGTTATATAAATATTCACTGTTCATACTTTAAGATTATAAATTCAAAATAAATGACATGAGTCTAAGCCGTCAGGAGAGGTGAGACCATTTTCATGAGAGAGGGACGAGCCTCCTGACATGAAGGAATGCCCAATAATCCCTTGGGGCCTGGTATGTCCTTTCACTTCTGGTCTGGCCCTTTTACCAAGCCTACCAGATAGAAGATGATAGACGGCCAACTATCGTTGCCTTGCACAAGACGGCACACTATAATGAGCTCAAATGCCCTCCTTTCTCCATACCTCCTACCCTCTGAACTTCATGAATTGAGCTGGTCCAAACTGTTCCCGGTAATACTAGGAAAGTGCATCAAACCTTTCAGCCCCGTGTGGTTAGTTTTCGAGAATTATCACTTAAAAGATAGCGTGATGAATTAGATGCCAGCCCTATGTAGGAATTTGATAGATATGGGAATTCAAACCGACCAATGAGTAGAAACATGTTTAAGTGCTTCAATTGAAAGTTGGTTTTCAATAAGATCTAAAGGCTCCAACTCCCATGCAACTGATCCTTATTCAGCTATTACCACATGACTGCTTTTAACAATTCTTGACATATTGAAGTTCTCATAATTCAATGTATTAAATCAAGCAATTCTAAATAATCAAAATCTTAAAAAAAAAAAAAAGAAGAAAACATTTTCAGACCACGGAAGAAGAACATTTGAACAGGAGAAAAGAAATCAAATCAAACACATTGAAAGGATAACTCAATGCTAAAAATAATAGGAGGAGAAAAACAGCACGTACAACGGATCCATGCACATCCAATCACCATCTCTTGGCCGTACATTTGGGTTACTTCTAGGTAGACCTTCGCCTCTAACTTGCCCTGCACCATAATCAGGTCTATCATAACTTTTGCCCAGAAACCTGCCAGCTTCTCTTCCACGACCGTAAGGGGGTGAATAGTCTCGATGTCTACCTGGATATTTCCCTCTGCCAAATCCACGACTACGTGGTGGGCCACCAGAATGATCAAAATCAGGACTATACCGATGATCTGCATTCCTATGGCGCTCAGGTGAAACAGAACCTGCACGTATTCTATATCCTGAAAAAATCCAGTGAATCCCAAACATAAGAGGCACTATATCATGAGAGAAAGTTACCCATATTATTTCCTAATCCTAATTAAGCTAAAGTTTGCAACCCATGAAATGCCAACAATTGGACTAAGCTTGTGCAACCAGTACCATTGTTCAGAGCTTCTTGTAGAATATTAGAGAAAGAGTAGCAGGAAGAGAATGTGAATCTCGAGGACGACTGTCTTCAAATTTATGTCTCAAACAAGATTATTACAGTACATCAACTGTAGAAAACTACATTTTGCCATATCATCCACACCTCACATGATAAGTTACTGCAATCCTTGAGGAAAAATAGACTTGGTTATTAAATGTGAAGCCAGTACCATGGATTTGACACATTGCACGGTTGACATTTATTCCCTCTAAACACATCAAATAGAAAACCCGTACTCATCGATGAAAAACAACCAATACCACCAACACAAGTAGTAATTAGAAACTCCCAACTGCACCAAAGCCAGGACCTTAAAATTACTGAACTCCTAACAATCCAGGCAAAATGCATTGCATAAAATTATCAAACTGCTAATAATCAACTCAAAATGCACTCCAACTCCTTAACAAAATGACTGTAAATTGAGCGAAACCAACCATAACCAACTTATCAAAAAGTGAAACCAATCATAACAGTCGTAAGCGCTTGCGCAAATGGCTGAGAAAATCCAAGCACTGAACTTAGTAAATCCCTTTGCAAACCAGCCCTCAGTTTGTTGATTAGACCTATTAAGTTCAAGCTTCTACATGGGACTAACTGACTGATGCATCAAAACTTACATGGAATCCTCTTATCAACCAAAACTAAATCTGGAGCAAAGCAACTAATCCAAATGCATGCCCAATTCAATTCCTATTTAACCGGCAAAATAAAGTATTAAAGGAAAAAAATCCCAAAAACAACCGCTAATTGGAGAAAGCAAGAAACTGAAAAGACTAAAACATTCATCAGTTTCCTTGAATCCAAATGACAAGGATTGGGATGGATTTGGAACACCAATAACGAAACACCGATTGTCCACCAAAAGATATCTGTTGCTTCACTGGAAGTTTGGGTCTTTATCAAGTTTCGCTTGTTACCACACATCACCGTTGCAGCATTTCCAGCCACTTCAACAATACAACTATAAAGACAACCAGCAAAAACACTTCATTCACAATATCAACCATTTAGTAATGGATCAGTCTCAGATACCTCATGTAACATTCTCAATTTCCTTCAAAGAGATAATTCACCAATCCATACAAGCTGACTATCAATAGAGCAGCCCATGAAACACAACAAGATACAAAGAGCTCACAGCTCATGAAAAACCCTGTAAAATATTATATTTGACAGTTATTTTTTCCTGTTCATAACACCCCAACCAAATTTCTCTACCAGAACCTCACCACGTGCCTTCCTCAAGACCAATGTTCTTGCACCAGGCAAAGTGCTCAGCTGTAAAAACAATAGCAAAATTCATTCACAATTCAACACTCCGTAAATGATACTGGAGAACAACGGCAATCAAGTGGGTGGATAAACGCTGTTATTTCTCACTCAGAAATGCAGAAACTTGATGTGCCTTGACATGAAAAAGATCTGGCTGACACAATAGATCTCAAATTTTTGTCATGTTGAATGCCAGAAGCCTGTAAATCTCTCAAACTACCTCATTAATCATATCTATAGTAGAAGTCCTAACAATTGAATTTGAGGATGATAGGAAGAGTCAAAGCGTGAAGCCACTTCACTATCCACTAGAATTTGGGTATGAATGAATTGATTATGAACTAGAACATACAAAAAATGTATTAAAAAAAAGGTAAAGAAGTTCACGGTGAAATTGAGCCCATACTTGAGCTACATCTGAGTTGACCAATAGCATAGAAGATGAGTTTCGTGGTTTATACTTTTTGCGGACGATATTGTTTTGATTGAAAAAACTAGTGAGGGAGTTAGCCTCAAATGCTAGACGAGTGGAGGAGTACTCCAAAAATAAAGGCTTTAGGATAAGTGGAGGTAAGATAGAATGTATAAACAAGTTTAGCATACTTAAGAAGAAAAAAAGTTGAAAGAAACTAGACGGAACTGCAGTGCTTATGTGAAAATAATTGAAGCATCTACACTCAGCCTTTTAGAATAATGGCATAATAAATGTAGTTGTAAAACTTCAAACTAAAATAGCATGGCTAAACTGGAAAGGTGATACGAGACTGTTATGTGATGGTAGGCTATAATCCGTATTTTAGACGCTTATTGCACTCTAATTCACTGCATTTTACTTGTGTTGAGCTTTAATTGGTAGTGTTTTGCACTTATTGTGTGTTTTATGCCTTGTAGAAGTGATTCCGTGCTATGTAGATGTTGTGGAGCTAATTCGAGCTATTTGAATCTTTGAAGTCTGTGTAAAAGCCCAAGGGATTAAGCCGAGATCGTGTTCGGGGGTCGAGGACCAAGTCTGGACATCAAAAATCAAATTTGAAGTCGCGCTCTAAGGAATTTACACTACTACGGCACGNGCTCTCTGGATATCCCCACTAGTGCCCCGCGTGGCGCGTCGCCCCAAGCGGCACGCCTGTGCAATTTTCCCAGAGCTATTTTCCTATTTCGACTTGGAAAAGATGGTTTCGTCCGGGCCCGACCATTCTTGATATAAATACATGGAAAACGTTATTTTCTGGACTTTTGATATACTTACGACCTAAGGAGGCTAAGGAGGAGTTAGAAGAACACAAGCACAAGGATTTCATCATTACTTCCTCACTCAAGACCCGAGTTTGGATCGAATCTATGTTTTCCTATACTTCAATTATATTTGTGATGAATTTCTCCATGTAGTAGTTTCCTTTAGGGTTTGATGGATTTAGTATATTGCTGATTGTTTGTGGATTATAACTCTAGTTTTATGTATTGAATCGTTTTGGAGGATTTAATTGTTGCATATATATTCACTAGTTCATGTAATCAAGAGAGGCATAACTTGTGATATCTTTGCATTATATTGTTGGTTGAGTTCATAGGTTCTACTAAGTAATCGAAAGAGGCTAGTTGAATCATTGATTAAACCTAGTTAGGAGAATAATCGAAAGAGGTTTTTCAAAGGACCAATCCACTACGCATTCTCGCATATCTTCACAATGCTTAATTTGGTTCATCTTCTGAGGTTGAGACTTAATCGATAGAGGAGTTTCTACTGAACGTTTGAACTAATAATTGAGTGAATTCGAGAGACTCACTTGAACATTAGAAGTGAATTATCTAGAGTTAGATCCCAAACAATTATCCTACACATATTCAGTCAAAACCCTATCTTTTCCCACTGATAACCTTATTTGCTTATTCCTCGTCTCGATAGTCACTAGTCAATAGCTTTAAATTCTGAGTTAATATTAAGTAGGAATCATATAAATCTCAACTGTTGATCCTCCTGGATAGCAATCAAGCTAGAAACTACAAGAATACTATTTAAATCCAATCCCCGTGGATACGATATTATATTATACTATCTTTGATTAGCGAGCATAATTTAAGTGAGTTTTGCGCTCGTCATTATGCAATAAAAGTATTTAAGCGGACATGAGAAGAGGGACGGACTCACTATCCCCGAGTGCTGAAGACTGGTTGGTCCCAAGGGTTGACCGAGACAGATTTCTCGGTCATAAAAAAAGTATGTTATTCAACAAACACATACTAAACGAAGTGAAAGAGAAATATTACAGAATGATTGTGACACCATCAACACTAAATGGAGAGATTTTTCAGCCTCTAAAACCCAACATAGCCACAAGACAAGCATAACCAAAATGAGAATGTTGGACGATTTTCCATCAAAAAAAGAATAGACAAGATCAAACTCTGATCACATTCTGCAGGAAGTGCAAGTGAAAGGAAAAAATGACCGAGATGATTTGATCATTTTCTGCGTATACCAAGTGAGTTAGTCAGTGAGCTATGGGTAACGACACCATGATAACTGGAGTGAGTGATTCAGTGAACTATGGGTAATCAGGGGCGGATCTACCTTACCCCAAGTGGGGTGTCACGTGACACCGCTTCGTCGAATTATTTTTCAAATTATGTATATAGTTCAAATGTAGAAACACAATAACCAGTTAAATAATAAAAGTGACACTACTTGTTGCCCATACTTTGCAGCTCATGCGGTCAGAGAACGAATTTTTCTATGCGAGGTCGCGTGTTCGAATACTTTAGCTTCGCTTTTTGTTTTAAACGTTCCTGCCCATCCACAAAATATACGTACCTGAAGGGGTTTGAACCGCGGATCTCTAAGGCATTATGATAACACTAAACCAATGGATCATAACTCACAATTGCAGATGGTCGCGACAGTAAATTGTTTTAAATTGGAAGGATGGTGCTGCTTCCTTTTTGTTTTTGTTTTTTAAGGATACTGACATGCTGCTGCTGCTTCTTTTTTTTTTTTTTTTATATGTTGTACAAATTTACAGTAATTTGTTTATTTGTCCACTTTTTAAAATGGTGACACCACTTACAAAAAATTCTGTGTACGCCGCTGTGGGTAATGACCATGACAACTGGAGATGTTTAAAGAAATGAGATTAAAATCACATATAGCAACTGTCTTAAAAATACTGTAATATATTAATGGAAGCAGGGAATTCTTATAAGTCATGGTAACTAGTTGGTGTGCAGGTTAGCCATTATTCGCACACGTAAAACAAATCTGGTTTCTGATAGGTGTCTTTTAACTTTGGTTAGAGATTGTATGTAATTGTAGGAATAGGTGTATGATTTCGAGAACCGCTAATTTTAAAGGATCACTAATTTTTCCTAAAAGAAAAATTACTGAAGCCCAAAGAGTAAGATTCATATATCTGATCTCAACTGTTTGGAACTGAGGCTAGTAGAAGTTACCATTATTGTTGTATCACTACATCACACTACGAAGATTTAATTGTGAAAACCCAACGAGACAACAGTCAGCAATCAGGATACAATCAATTAAAACTTTCACCAAAGATACAAAATGTATAATCTAAAACGTACAACACGCCAGAATACATCAGCGCTATTTTATTTAGTTCTGAAATTCGACCAAAAAATAAACAATTAAATCTTTCACCAACAAATAATCAGATCAATATAGTCTTAACTTACGGGTTGGATCTAGGGCTTCGTAATTATCATGACAAAAAAAAGGGTGTAGCGAAGGACAAACCATGAGTATCGGAGAATCGACCGGAACGTGAATAGGGTGGTGCATCTGGACGAACCTCGCCGGGCTCGTAGTCGCTACCAACACCGTCACTGTCATTATCTCCGCCGCTGTCGGTGGGCCTTACAACTAGGCTGCTCAGGTGCAGCGTTGGCTGGTCCTCTCGCGAACCCATATTCTTCTCTCTCTCTCTTGCCGCACTGTGCGGAGTGTCTTTTTCTGTGCTCACTTTATTATATGATCATCGATTTCTAAAAAGAATATTATGAAACCCTAGTCGGTACATATTTACGTTTGTTTTGGAAACTAGGTTGTTATTTGTTGTATTGAAATGTAACTTTAAATATAATATTTATTATATTTATTTTAGTTATTAATTAAATTTTATTATATTATATTATTAAATTTATTATTACGTCAAATAGTGCATAGTTACCTTATTTTTTCTTTTAATTTTGCATTTTTTTATTATTAAATAATTCCATTTTACCCTTTATTGTACCTTTTAATATAATAATTCTATCTTATACCTTTTTTTATAATATTGCAAGTTTGTTCTTCTATTACTGTTACATGGCATAATAAAATGACTACAAACGATACAATATATCCAAATGTTATATTCATTAAAACAATACGGTATAATATAATACAATGCGATATATTATGAAATAATATGCAACAACCAACCAACCAAGCTATAACGGTGAAGAATCTAAAGATTTAACCAATATAAAAGAGAACTACTTTCGTATTAGTAATCATATTTCTTTTCTCTTTTTGCCTATTTAACTTTATATAATAATGTGAACGTAAATTTTTAGTTTTTCGTTTAAGTCGATGTATAAAACTCGATTAGTTCACTTTAATGAGTGTCTATACGTAAATAGTTGTAAGTCTAATAAAGTTATTAGTTGAATTTGAATTTGTGACCTAGAGATTCATATTATAATCTTAAGATCTAGTTGTTCGTGATAAGAATATAGAGAGGTCATCTTTGCATTGACCTAACCGGTCATTTTGAGTTTTATCATTTTGTTAGGTGATTTGAGATCTTTGAGTAGGTTGATATGATGTTTTTATGACTTGTATGTAATGGTTGGTTGGGGTTCCAAGAGGTTCAAGAGCGATTTGGAACATTTGGTTTGCAACTAGAGGATTTAAGTTAAGAAGAGTTGACCAAAGTTAAGAAGAGTTTACCAAAGTCAACATTATAGGTAAACGAATTTGGATTCATGATTTGAAGGTTCCAATAGATTTATATGATAATTTTGGACTTGTACGTGTATTCAGTTCGGGCCTCAGATGGTCTGGGGTTGGTTCAACACTTCTAGTTGAAAATTGGAATTCATGAACTTAAGAGAATTTCATAATTTAGATTGATCTTTGATTCTTGGTTTTGATATTGTTAATTGTGTTTTGAGCCTTTGAACAAGTTTGCATCGGGCATACGAACTTGTTAGGATTATTGGACGGGATACCGGGGGCCTCTAATGAGTTTTGGGATGATTTTGGATCATTTTGAGCCATGTTTTTGCAGTTGTAGATTTTTCATCGCAGAGGAATGAATCGTGATCGTGCAGGCTAGTGCTACAATCAAAAAGAGGAAAGGGTGCTGGAAGTATTGTCAGTTGCAATCGCGTAGGAGGGACTACGATCACAAATGTCACGACCAAAAGATCTCACCGGAGCCGTGGCGGCGCAAACACCGCTTGCTAGGAAAGCCATTAATCAATAAGTAGAATCAAACTTAAATAGCAGCATTAAATAGTCTAAATAACAGAATAATCATAGATAACATAAGTCAATAGCAATAATACAACTAAACTACCCCACAATCTGGTGTCATCAAATACATGAGCGCTACAAATATAAGTACAGAGTCTAATCACCAAAATACAGTACTGCCTAAAAAGCAGATAAGTAATAACATGAACTAATAGTAAAGGGACTTCAGGGACTGCGAATGAAACAACAACTACTTTGAAATCTCCAAGACCCGGTACTGGTGGCACTCCCTAGTAATCGCCTCTCTCGGCAATGCCTAGATCTGCACATAAAGTGCAGAGATCGCAAAAGTGAAACCCTGCCAGCCCACAAAAATATCCCAATTGCAACATGGGCTTTGCAATTAACGTTGCAGCATGTTCGCAAAAGTGACCATGTGGTCGCAAATGCGACCTGACCAATCCCTGTTCTATCTTTGCAAATGCGATCAAGGTGTCATATTTGTTCGCAAAAGCAAGCATGTGGTCGCAAATGCGACCTGACCAATCCTTGTGCTATCTTTGCAAATGCGATGCTGGTACTCGCAATTGTGTTAACTGCAGCACTAGCACACCAGCAACTTGAAACAAGTCCAAATCTATCCAAAACACGTCTGATACTCACCCGAGCCCCTGGGCTCCACACTAAACATTCATACAAGTCTAGAAATATAATACGAACTTGCTTGCACGCTCAAAACACCAAAATAATATCTGGAACCTCGAATCGGACATCTAAACACATAGGATTCACAATGAAACTCAAGAATCGCTAAAACCAACTCGGAATGATACCGAAATTTTGCAGACAAGTTCCAAATGACAAAACAGACCTATTCCAAGTCTCGAAACCTGAATCCGAACCTGATAGCTATAAAGTCAACCTACGGTCGAACTTAGAAAATTTCTAAACCTTCAAATTGCCAACTTTCGGCAAAACAAGCCAAATCAACCTAGGAACCTCCAGATCCACTTCTGGGCATACGCCTAAGTCCAAAATTACCATACAGACCTATTGAAACTATCAAAATACCGTTCCAAAGTTGTTTTCACAAAAGTCAAACCTCGATCAATATTTTCAACTTAAGCCTCCAAACTAAGAGCAATGATCCCAAATCAATCCAAAACTTCCACGGAATGAAACCAACCATCCATGCAAGTCATATAACCACAAATAAACATACGAGAAGCTTCACAGGGAGAAACGGGGCTCAAATACACAAAATGACATGTCAGGTCATTATAAAAACACTAGGCCTGGTGAACCCCTTATCCAACAACTCTTGTAATTGTTCCTTCAATTCCTTCAACTCCACTAGAGCCATGCGATACGGTGGAGCAGAAATAAGCTGAGTGTTCGGTGTCAAATCAATGTTGAAATCAATATCTCTATCGGGTGGCATGCCCGGTAGGTCTGCTGTAAAGTCCCTCACTATTGGAAGTGACTCAACAGTAGGAGTATCAGCACTAACATCTCTGACAAAATCTAGATACGCCAAACATCCCTTCTCAACCATCCGTTGAGCCTTCAAGAATGAAATCATTCTACTAGGGGTACAACCAAGAGAACCCTTCCACTCCAACCTTGGCAACCCCGGCATCGCCAACATCACGGTCTTAACGTGATAATCTAGAATAACATGTGTTGATTACCAATTTTGACCTTCCCCTCTTAAATTAAAATTTTTACACTTATTAATCAGTAATAAATGTAGTAAAGTATTTTTAAATTCGTAATAATTTTTTTCTTAAAATATAAATGATATAAAGGCAATATTTAATTAATAGTAATTTAGTATTAAATATTTTTAATTATATTACTCATAATGCTTTAATTAATTAAAATAACTTCCACATCTTAATAAACAAGTTTTACAATTAATTTAATAATTTAGTCTCAAAATTATAATTAATTACTTTCATTACTTTGATTAGCCAAAATTAATTTATACAAGTTTGTAATCAGAATATTAATTAACAACCTGTTAATTATAGTGATTAACTAATAATATATTTGATAAGTATATTTTACATTTAATTAATATTAATTAAGTCTAATTAATTTAATTATAAAAAGGGTTAAAAACTTAAAAGGGCTATAATTGTAATTGTCTAATTAAAACTCAATGTGGCTACAATTTAAATTCCTACCCAGCTGATTTAGCCCAAAATACAAGCACAATACATCATGACCCGATCTGGAACCCACCCTATCTATCCAAGTTGGCAATTTGTGCCCTCCTCCCTAAGCCAATCAAAAAGCAACACATCACCCCTCTTCTACACTCAGATATGAAACACAAGAGATCTGGATCGTTGATCCAATCCATCAATGATCCATGATTAATCCCTATTTTTCTTTTACTTTCATAATTATTCCGGATCTAATCTCAGCCGTTGAATCATAGAGATCCAACGGCCATCGTTTTTCCATAATAAATCCCTTTATCTATTTTTATTCTACGAAAAATCATAGCCGTTGATCAAAAGATCCAATGGCTCATATCATATCTCTCACTTTTAACCTTAAAGATACTCCTAACCCTAATCATTTTGCCACCCACCGGGCGCCTTTGTTTCCTCTTTCTCTCACTTTTCTCTCAAAGCCATCAGACCCATCAATCCAAAAACCTTACACAAATTTATACAAGGTCACTCAAATCAAACCCTGAAACATCCATCTTGTCCCTGCAAGACGTGAATCCTGCTAGAAACCTTCCTCTTTCATCACTTTGATTCAAACTCCAGATCCTTAGAAACCCTAATCATATCGATACATGGGTATAACATCATCATTCCTTTGTTCCGTCGAATCTGGCATGCATGGCTATTGATGTTCAACCTCACCATCATCATTCGTTGTCCAGAGGTCAAACACAGTGACCTATAGATATTAGGGTTTGACCGATGTCCCGATGGCTTCAACGGACGACCTCCTTGTGCCAAGGTAAAATCTTTACTATTTTTCCCTCTGTTCTTCTCTGATTTTCCCCTTCTTGCTATCATCATCTATCTATCGTCACTCTCCACTATCTATTGGAACTCAAACGGAACCTTAAGGCTTGAAGGCAACTATAAATAAGGCTTTAAATGTCTTTACCTAACATACACCTAACACCATTAGAAACACTAAAAGATACATTGAAGTACAAAGAAAAGCATTAAATCTAAGGCTTTCTGCTAAGTTTGAGTCCCCGGTAGCAGTTATCTAATTTTCTCTTTTCTTCCGTTCATTCTATTCGAGTTCAATCTACTATGAGTTGATCGTTGTAAGTTTGGAGTTCTTAGACGGTTGTTAGAATTTTTTTACTCGGTTTATTTCTCCACAAAAGGTCAGTGTACACTGACCTCTTCTCTTTACTTTTCCCTAGATTACTTATGTAATTCTATGTTTATGCCATTTACATTGATAATCACCTATTGAGCATGCTAATATGTGGCTTTTACTATGTCTTGTTATTCAAGTTATTCTGTTTCTTCTAAGAATAATT